ATGTGGTGTACCTAGTGTAAAAGTCTTGTAATTTTTTGCTGTCATTTAGTTATAATTTCCTTCCTTTAAACAAAAATTTCATGAATTCTTTATAAAACATCTTCCTCTTTATCTTTTTCAAATCTTCCGATTTCTTTCCGCACAATGGCACTCTAATAAAAAAACAAAAAATACAAAATATATGAAATCGTAAAACACAATAAAATATAAAATACAAAAACACAAAAAAATATAAAATTTAAAAAATCAAAAAAAAAAAAAAAAAAAAAAAAGTTTGCAAAAATGGGTTAGCAGACTTTAACATCCCTCAAAAGTAGGTCATTTTTACCGGTTACCGTTTATAATTTCATCTATAAATTTTAGTGGAATTAGCGCTTAAGTTACACACGAACGCAATATTACGAAATTATAAGTATTTAGTTTTAAGTGAACTTTATTCAATAACGTTTATTGATATATTTTATGAGTATGGATTTATTTCTATCTAATTATGATAACAATCTAAATATTAGCAGCTCTGAAAAAACTAGCTCCGATGAAAGTGAAAGTTTACCAGGTTGTTTAATTATAAATCAATTGATAAACATGACATTTATTAAATGATTAAATCAGATTAAATCGGATTAAATGATTTAATGTGATAAATAATATTTAAATAATCAAATTAAGTTTTCATTCTATGTATTTATTTACATATTTTATGTTTAGTTTTTTCTCATGTAATTATTTTTTTAACATAGAAAACATTATAGTTTGCAAGTACTCAAGAAATTACCTCTTTATTTGCTCATTGCATTAATAGTGGTATGTCAAATATTTGACTGTAATGCCGAAATCAGCTAGTTATTTAATTTTTTTTTATAAAAGAACTGTTTGCATTTGCTTTTATATGTAGGAATTGTTGTTATAATTGTTTGATAATTGTTTTTGTAGCTGATAAATCAAAGCTGGTTTATCATTGTAAATCTCATGAAGAAGCTCTTCAATGTGTAAAAAAGTATGAGATAGCGACAACAACAAGATTCGTAGTGTTTAAGGCAAATAAAAATTTTGGAATGACTGGTAAAGTGGTTCTTTTTGTTATAACTTTTCTTAAGTTACTTAAAGTAGTTTATTTCAAAAATGTTTTAATTTTATACTTTAAAATGATTACAAAAAGTCATTCTATACTTTGGGAAGATTTTGCTGTTCCTTATTCTGGGTTGCCTTACAAAGTTGTTGCAAGCAAAGTTTTCGATTGTCATCATGGATTTGACAGAAATATTGGATCAAAAAAGAATTATCAACTAAAAAAACAAAAACTTAATGTAATACACTTGGTCAAAATCAATCTTTATATATTATTCTTTTCTTTAAAAATATTTATTAAATATGAAACTTGAAGAGGTTTAAAGTATGTTACTAGCTTTTGAGCTTTCTCTTAAATATTTTAAATTTTTTTTTCAAATAATAAAATGTTATTGAACTAATCAATTAAATGTACAATGCACTGTATTACCTTTTTAATTACAGATAGATGATCACTGCTTTCAAAAGAATTATATTATTTTACAAGACACTAAAAAATTCATGTGCCCTGCTTAGAGTTGCAAAAAAAACTGTTTTTTTTTAATTGTGTTTTTTTTGCAAAAAAAACATGTTTTTTTTGTGTTTTTTGTGTTTTTTATGGTTTTTTTTGTTTTTTAGATAAAAAAAAAAATTTTTTTACTTTTATTTAATTTTTATTTTTATTATAAATGTAATATAATATATATTAATAACATGATATATGGTAAATATATAGTACATCATTTAAAAGATTTATTTTTAATTAATAACAGATTCTGTATTCTGGCTTTCTTGTTCATTAAGGTCTTCTATTGTAAAGTCAAATCCGTATTCTTCAGAGTCGCTTGATAACTCTGACTCTAAACTCTTGTACTCTCCTAAAATGTAGGATGCAATTTTATTTTTCTGAGTTGTGAATGGAACTCTTGTTGAAGAATATAATCGTTTTAAGGGAGGCTTATCTGATTTGGTTTTATTTGCCTTACAGTCTCCAAACTTAGGGGTTGTAGACCTACTTTGGTTTCCAAAACAGCTTGGTGTTGGAAAGAAAGACTCAATTGGAACTTGTGGAATAGCAGATGATAAACATATTTTTTTCTCATTTTCATATCTTGAATAGGTAAGTTTTCAGGAATATCTTCTTCCATCATTAGTTCAGTTTGAACTTTCTTCTGTTTAAAAGGAATATCGTTCAAATATTTGTTTTTTATTTGATCGCCACATTTCATACATTTTGCAATGTACTCAGTCATTCGAGTGCCATTTTTTGATAGCTTTAAGCTGCAAAATTTTCATATAACTTGTTGAATTTTAGAACCTCCAGATTCTAAAGGTGCCTCATTGAACAATGTAGCTACAAAACATTTCTTTCTTTTTTTTTTTTTAATTAAAAATAATTAATAGATTACAAATTGTTTAATATAAATGTTTTTTCATTAGACAAATTTAATCATTGTGTTATTTTTATTTACTTGAATATTGTTTGAATAAATAAAATTTTAGCTATCTAATTGCAATTTAAAATAAAATAAAGAAATTAAATATTAAAAATTTAAAAAAGTAATATACAAAAGTAAATAAAACATTAAAGTAAATTTTATTTAACAGTTGGTTCATTTTTGTATTTTGCAATGCAGTGTTATTTCATTCATTTTTATGAATGAAATAACAATGCTAAAATAACATTTTTATTTCCTTCATTCAGTAGTATTATACTTACAATCAACTAGTAGCTAATAGTATAGTTTTTTTGAGATTTATTTAAAAAATTACTTTTTTAAATATTTAATACTGTTTTTTTTTAATATTGGTGATTAGTTTGTAACAGCTATTATATAAGTTAATATGCATTTTATTAAATAGAAAACATTTGTATTTTGTAGGTTTAAGGGCACTGGAACTGTTTCAAGTATTATTATTATCTAAAATTTAATGAATACTAAAAAAAAGCAAAAAAAACTATAAAAAACATGTTTTTAGAACCAGTCTGTTTTTTTTGCAAAAAAAACGTGTTTTTTTTAAAAAAAACACACCGTTTTTTTTGGGGTTGCAACTCTAGCCCTGCTAAAGTTAATATGAGAGAAATAATACATTTTCCTGATTTTAAGGTAGAAATTGGTTATCTAATTTAGTAAAACAAAAAAATATTGACAGTTTTGTAAACCATAAAAATTGAATTTATTTAAGGTACTTTGATTTTATATACTACTTTTGTTAATTAATTAATTAATATATTTAGATATCAGAGAGGTCTGTATGGCGCCAAAAGAATGCATCTAAACTTTTGAGGGAGAAAATAAAAACTTCTGCATTAAATGCGAACAATTGTAATTTAACAAATCATATGCGAACAATTGTAGTTGCTATCGACAATTTATCATGTCATGATAATCATCTTGTAGGATTGGTAAAAAAATAATTTAGTTCTGGTTTGTCATACAATATTGTTATATAAACATGTTGTAAGATTTTTATTTACTTTTTTTTTAAGGCTGAATTGATTTCTCAAAAATTTGATCCTGAAATTTCTAAAAAAATTGAAGAATATGTAATGGAGGGAATATTCAATGTAAGAGAAATGAAAAGGCTCCTTCAAATTGCTGTCAAGGGTATATTTGAAAAAGAAAATCTTCCTCCACCAAATAATAGAAGGTTTTTCCCCCGTGTTACAACTATAAGATCACATATAGTCAAAATCAAACAAAAGCTAAGGTTACTAATTATTTATTAAATTTTAGTTTTGATAATTAAATAACAGTTTTAATAAAAATACTTAATCATAAAAAGGAGATTTTAAAATAATTTTTCAGGAAACAATTTATAATTATTACTATGCATAGTCAATGATTCAGGGTAAAAGGGTAGTTTTTTTGAATGAGTCAGGGGAAACAGGGTTTTCAGGAAAAAAAGTCAGGGAAATTACTTATGTTTTTGAGTTAAATCAGGGAATTTTTTTATTGAGAACTTAAACCCTATTTTTATATAAACCCTGTTTATATATATATATATATATATATATATATATATATATATATATATATATATATATATATATATATATATATATATATATATACATATATATATATATATATATATATATATATATATATATATATATATATATATATATATATATATATATATATATATATATATATATATATATATATTTATATATATATATATAAATATATATATATATATATATATATATATATATATATATATATATATATATATATATATATATATATATATATATGTATATATATATATATATATATATATATATATATAAACACTCAGAATTGGGAAAAATGAGGTCGGCAAATTATTACAGACCTCAATCTTTTTGAGGTCGGCAAATATTATTTTAAGGTCTGACCGCAAAACATAGAAACAAGGTCGGTTATTTTTCGCCGACGTCGTACACTTTCAAGTTGGCAATGCCGACCCTTATTTCGAGGGTTGATATATATATATATATATATATATATATATATATATATATATATATATATATATATATATATATAAATATATATATATATATATATATATATATATATATATATACATATATACATACATACATACATAAATAAATGCAGTATCAGAATCTAACTGATGATGTTATACTGAAAGGTTATTGTTTTTTCTATTTTTGAAAAATGAAAGTGCATGTTTTTAAAAAAAGTCTGTATGATACACATATATATCTATATATGTGTGATATATTATTACGATTATGATATTTCAATTGTTTAGGTATTCTATGATTGATTAAGAATATCTTTTAAAGAAATGTGATGAATGGAAAAAAAGGGATTCTTCTATAAAGGTGTTTCTGAGACCAAGAGCTGAAATTACAAACAGTATCTGTGAAACTATGTATTCCTTTTTATTTGTATATCAATTACTTTGGCAACAAGAACTTCTTCTACGGGATGGAAATGAGATACTGCTTCTTGATGCCACTTACCGAACTACGAGATATTCTCTTCCCTTATTTTTTTTAACGATAAAAACAAATGTAGATTATCAAGTTGTTGCCACTTTTGTAATCGAAAATGAAACTAAAAAGGCTATCACTGAAGCATTAAATATAATAAAACAATGGAATGCATTGTTAAATCCTACTTTTTGTATGACTGATTATTGCAACGAAGAAATAGAGTCATTAGAAGCTATTTTTCCAGGTAAAATAGACACACAAGTATATATATATATATATATATATATATATATATATATATATGTATGTATATATATATATATATATATATATATATATATATATATATATATGTATGTATATATATATATATATATATATATATATATATATATATATATATATATATATATTTATATATATATATTTATTTATGTATATATATATATGAGTGTGTATATATATATATATATATATATATATATATATATATATATATATATATATATATATATATATATATATATATATATATATATATATATATATATATATATATATATATATATATATATAATATATATATATATATATATATAAAGCCTTTTTTGGACTTGTGCGGTCGCATGTCTTATATGACCAGAAATAAAATTTTTTTTACAACTTGACCATGGTTTTTGCATAAGAGATGCATATATATATATATATATATATATATATATATATATATATATATATATATATATATATATATATATATAAATTTATCTAAGAATTATGTTCCAAATAATATACTTATAAATAATTTTTAAAGTTTGTTAAATGTTATTGTTATAAACTGTTTTTTATGACTGATGGTGATAACTATTTAGATTGTCGAGTCTTCATATGTGATTTTCATAGAGAGCAGGCATGGGATCGTTGGTTGTCAAAGACTACAAATGGATGCTCTGATTTTAAAGGAAGTATAATTTCATTGCTGCGTTGTGTTGCTAGAGCACAAACTCAAGAAGAGGTAGAAGCAGCTATTGAGTTACTAAGTTTATCCAAGTTTTGGTTGGATTACAAGTTTAACAGATTTAAAAAATATATAACAAATTATTGGTTAAGTATTAAATAAGTAATTGTTTTGCATTTCTATTAACTAATTATCTAAGTATTGTATTCTTCAATTTCGTAAATTCTGACATCATTTAAAAATTATAATCATCTTTGTATGATGTTTACATGTTAATTTATATGTATGTATATATATATATATATATATATATATATATATATATATATATATATATATATATACATATATATATATATATATATATATATATATATATATATATATATATATATATATATATATATATATATATATATATATATATATATATAATTAATTTATAATGTTAGTATATATGATTTAATGATAACATTCTTGTTACAAAAGTCTGTGTGTTAGTTAGTCTTTATTTTGTCTGTGATAAGATAATTTCCCCATTGTACATAATAACAGGCTCTCCTAATTGTTTATATAATATATTAAATGACAACAATTGTGTTTCTATCAATTGAAGAAAAAATTGACATTAAATTTTTATTTTGGTTAACATCCTGATAATGTTTATTAATTTTAATCTTTTTATCTGTAACTTTATTCATTTATATTTGATTTTTTATGTAAATGATATTTTAGTTGATACTCTCATGTTTCGTTAAGAAATGGATATGGGCTTATCGTCGCGATCGATTGTTGGTTGGTTTAAATACTAACAATGGGGTGGAAAGACAAAATGAATCCTTTAAATATTTTTATTTGCAACAGCATAAAAATTCATCTATTACTGGTATGCTAACCCTATTGATTGAAGAATTTTTTCCAGACAAATTTGAACAGTAATTTTATTTTAAATTGAACTTATAAAAAAAAAAAAATTGTAGATAAAGTTTAATTAAAAAAAAAATATTTTAGATATTCAGAATCCAATTTCAAAATGAGTTGTCAGTACAGACGTTATAGTATGAATGTACCTCATTTTTTACATAATAAGCCACATCATTTTGTTAAACATTGTTTACAGAAACATAATTTAGTTAGTAATGCTGACCTAAATGGATTAATTTTAGTAGATGAAAGTAAAAGTTACATTGTCAATTTTGGCGATGAAAACAACATGCCAAAATGTACTTGCAATGATTGGTTAAAGTCAGCTTATCTTTGCAAACACTTTTTTTTGATATTTAGAAAACATCCGCATATTTGGTCATGGCAATCTTTATCTTCTTTATATAGGGAATCCCCATTTCTAAATATTGACATTAAAAATGACTTGATATTCAATCAATCAATTGTTTGTAAATGCAACCATGCAAATAAACATGTTCAAGAATATACTAAAGCTTCTATTGTTAATTTCTCAGATACAGTATCTTTAAAACTCTCTGACAAAAGTATTCAAAAAAAGGTTTCGATGGCATTTGAAGTACGTGAAATGCTTACCACTATTAAAAATTTAACTTATGATTTTGATGAAACATCTGGAGAAATTTCTGACTTACATGAGAATTTATCAAACATTCTTAATGCCCTTTATCATGCAAGAAAAAAAAAAAAAGGTCTACCTGTTCGAACAGAAAATATAGATGATTATGTACACAATAAGAAAATGAAATTAATTGAAATACCTGGTATTAAAAAAAAAAAAAAGTTCAAATTGGGTTGGAAAAAAAAAAGATATGTCACTCTCATCATGTAATATTAAGATTAATAGTGTTGCTCTAGAAGTATCGATACAAGAATGTATTATTACTGATGATCAAATAACAGGTGAAACATCTTTTAAAACAAGTTCTATGATTATTGAAAATAATTTGTCTGATGATAATAACAAAACAGGCTGTCAAGCAGCAACTTTCAAAAAAAATGACAAAAAATGACGGTATTTTGAGAATAAAAATGACAAAAAATGAAAAAAAATGACTGATTTCATCATAAAAATAAAAAGCTCAATAATTTTATGTTGAAAATAACAAACAAAATCATCCGCCATCAATATTTCTATTAAAAATGAAAACCTCGTCATCTTTTTGTTGTTTAACACAGAATAAAACGTTTTTTCTAAAGTCTAAAATAATTAACATAAATAAATAAATTTTGCTAAATAACTAGAACTGAACTAACAGTTCAAGCTCTATTATATTTACAAAAACTTTCAAACTTTTAACGACTATTTTAACTTTTTGCAACGCTTAATTAATCTATCCATTTCACTTTTACGTTTTAAACCAATATTTTCTCTCAACTTTTTCTGTTCATTTCTATGATATGTAGCATTTTCAAGACTTCTTTTTGCGCTGTTTACCATTTCATGGGCAATTTTTATACCCATCATGTCTTCCTTAATAATGGCACTTTGCATGGATTTTGCTGCTTCATCGAGCATTCTCTGAGCAAGCTGAAACTCAAGATCTGCATTTTTTTCATCATTCTTTAGACTTTTTTCCTGTTGATCTAAATTTTTATTTTGATTTTCAACTTTTTCAAGCATTTCTTTCTGCTCTTTTTCTTTATTCATTAGTTCTTGCTCATGAATATAATTTTTTCTTTTTTCTTCGTCTTCTTCAGCTTTTCTTTTTTTATATATTTTATGAGCATTTTGAACAGCTTGAACAAAGTCTTTGGAGAGTGCATCAACATTATATGCTCTTCTGCAACTTCTTGCATATTCTTTTGATATTCTCAAAGCCATTAATGTTTCATCATTTAGATTTACTCTCTCAGGAGTTAATGTATTTTTGTTATCAGATAAACTTCGCTCAGCACTGGCATTTCCATTCTGAATTGTTAAACAGCTCTTAACAACTTTACTGAGATACCCATACTTTGTTTTTCCATAGTCATTGTTACTTTCAAAAACTTTAGCCCAATAATGGTCTACTCTTTTTAGTTTTTTTGTATCAAAATCTATATACCAGTCTTTTGATATATTAGCTGCTTGGTATAATTTCCATTCATCTTTTACAAATGATACCTGTACAAAAATTAAGATAAAATTGTTATGGAGAAAGTGTTAACATTTAAAATTAAAGGAAAATTTTATTATATTAAAATTAAAATAGTTCGTTAACTAATAATTTACAAACAACAATTTCTGATTTGTAAATTAAAATAATAACTAGTAAATTTTGAAAATGTTAAATAATATATTTATATGGTTAATGTACTCTAAATATATATTTTCTTTAGTTGCTTGCCAATCGTCGCATACAGCAAATTCAATGACCCGAGTTTAAAGGAAATAAAAAACATGTTGTATAACTGTTGTAAAGTAGGATTGTCCAATATTTTGAAAATGGTTGCATGTAATGAGTGCAATTGTGAAAATATGTAATTATTTTATTTGAACATTTTAAAAATATATTTAAAATAAAATAATTTTTTTTTTATTTCTTATTTCAACTGAAAAACCTACCAAAAAAAAACTTTATTTAAAAGATTATTGTAGAATGTAAAATTAAACAGTAGTTTAAAAAATTATAAATCTTTAACAAAATAGTTAGTAAATCGCAGAGAACTAGTCTTATTTTTTATAAAACGATCAAATAGTCACATAAAATAACATGAATAAATTGTCGGTATGATCCAAAGTGAAACTAAAGTTTTCAGGAAATTATTAGTGCTGTACCTTATAAAATAACTTTCTTTTATTTGACGATAAAACGTTATCCCTTTTTATTGTTTTTTATTATTTTTTTATGAATTTAAAATGTAGTTTTCTAACCGGTCGGTATGATGCTAAGTGGAAGAAGAAAAAAAAGATCAACAGGAATTTATTGGTACTGTACCTTAAGAAATTAATTTCTTGAATTTGATAATAAAACTTTAACTTTCCAATTGGCTATTTTTTGTTCTGGATATAAAGTGTACTTCTCTAACCGTTATGTGCAAAACAAATCGGAAATACAGTAATTCCATGCTCGCGTTTATGCATGTTTTAATCAAGAAAACAAAAGTTTACGGTATTTAGATTGCAAAAATAAAAAAACTATAACTTTGTTATAATATTGCAATAACCTAACCGTATTATAAAAGTTAAAGTGTTCATAATTTTTATATTGTAACATATATCTCAAAATACGCGCGTTACAGCGTGGATCGATTTGTCACGCCGTGACAATTTTTTTTTTTTTTTTTTTGTAATAACTGATAAAATACAAAGTATAAAATAAAATTTTACCCTAATGATCATAACGACGGCTAAATCTGTAGACGAGATAACTCCCGTTGCACCAAACTGTGCAGGAGAAACAAACATATTTCATATATACACTTACATGGATTTTTATTGTTAATTTTCATATTTATATATTTAAAATTGTTACTGAAAATAAAATGACGCATTTGTACAATGTCTTATGTATAAAAAAAAATGCTGCCGAAAAAGAGTCAATTTAACAAAAAAGTTATCTTGTTTGCAGATGAGGCCGTCGATATATTTCTTTACCAAATTAATATAAATTTTAAAAAATTTTTATACTCATGGATATTATTAAACTACATTTCCTCGATATAGCAAAACATAGAGGCATGTGGAATTGCTCCATAGCTCATGAAGGTAAAGTGAACGTCTTTAGCTTTCTCATACGGCAGTGCTTTATTGACAACATGACGTCTTTTGAACGTAATTTGATTGAAAATCATCGAAAAAACGTCATCTGTTTGCTTATGAAGGAAGTGTAACGTAAAGAGATTTTTTTACTTAAGTCGTCTAAAGCAAAGGTCAAAGCTTTTTTTTTTTTTTTTGTCCGAGGCATGAAGAGTTTGCCGTGCTACTTAAAATAATTAAGGAAATTTTTTTATCTTCGACCGCAAGATTAAAAATGTATTTAATTTTACTCTGAATACGACATATTTCTTGTCCCTGGCTATAATTTTTTTTGGAACGAGTTGTAGTTTTGTTTGAATTTTTCAGTACGTTTGTTTATTTTGAATGCAATACTCATATAACACAGTAACCCGATAGTATTCGATGAGGTTTTCGTGAAATTAACCGCGTATTCAAAAAATTCTAGAATACGCATTGGTTACGAATGTTTGTTAGAATGTTGTTGTTGTATCGAGAAGTGCATGCCTAATACATATAAAGACAACTACAGAAAATAATCATCTCGCATTTGAATCTTTTGCAAACGCTATTTATACACGTATTCGCTGTAAAAAAACAAAACAAATCTTAATACATAAAAGTTTTATTATATCAACTTGTACTTTTGAAAAACTTTTAATGTTTATTTTAATACATTTTTAATCAAATTTTCGGTTAGATTTCCGATGGAGTCACCAAGATTCTTACCACCAATACGCCTAAAAATACTTTAAATATCAAAAGAATTTCCATAACTTGTTTATCTAAATAGAATCTATAAAGATAAAAAATCTTATCTAGGTTAAAAAAATTGGATATAAAGTAAGCATTAACCAGGGTGGCCACATAATTTTTATAAGAAAAATTAGTTATTAGAAGATTTTAGAGGAGATTTTGAATCTAATTTAGAGGACTTTTTTCTAACTACAAAAAAACTACAAAATTTGAAATAAAAATTGAGGATTTTAGAGGATTTTTTATAAAGGTTTAACACCCATGTTTCCACATAACTGGAGTTAGGACAGGGGTCAACAATGTCATTTTTTGTTAGATTACATAAAATTAATTTTTTTACAGACCATGAATTTTAAATAATACACTATCATCACGAAATTGAAATAATAAAAAAGAGGAGTGAAAGAAGAGATGTTATGATATTTTTAACTTTTTAGAGGATAGTAGAGGATTTTATAGGAGCTGTTAGCTAAAGCTAGAGGCCACCCTGTTAACGTAAAATGTAAGCTGTAACGTAAAACACAAATTTGCACAGAACTCAGTGTTACAAAAAGTTAAAATGAGGTTAAATGTTCAATTTAATATGAAACTAATTATATAATTATATATTATTATGAAAATTTAATAATAAAACTATATAATGATATGAAATATTAATATTAATAAAATATAAAATTATATATTAACATGAAAAAATACTTAAATAATAATATTATTCCATAAACTTACTCAATAGAAAAGCAGTGTGTCCGTTAAACTGTTAAATTGGCTGCCGATTTTTTTTCTCTAGTTTTTTGGATAGTAAAAAAAAATGCAGTAAGCAGTGAACAATCATCAGATGATTTGTAAATAAAGTGCAGGGTTCTTTTCAGGGTCATTGGTTGCAAACAGAAAATTTTTAATAAAAAAAACAGGACTATGGAAATCTAAAAAACAAGATTTTTTTGAAAAAAATAGCAATTTCATGATAAAATTAAAACAAAAAATTTTATAAACTATAAATGAAAAAATAAAAACGTTTAATAAACAATAAAAAAATTTTGTATACCATGTATATAAACCAAGTGTAACAAAAAAATAAATAAACAAAAAGCTAATATAATGCTTTGTGAATGAATGATAGTATCAAATTTTAAAAACTCATGTAAACAAAGAAAGAAATTACAAATTTTTTTAAAATTTTAAACATTCTTTCATTTTAACTCTATTTCATTTCATATTAGCTCTAGCTTAAATTAAATTCATTTCATTTCAACTCTAGCTTTTTTATCTTTCTAATTTTTAACCCTAACTATGCACTTAGTTTTCTTTCAAGTTAATGTCCTGAATTCACACAAATTTGTTATAATGTGAACTACAGATATCTAGAACTCAAACTTTTAGTGACTTAAATTACTTTCAAGTTTTCATCTATGATAATACTATGATATATATATATATATATATATATATATATATATATATATATATATATATATATATATATATATATATATATATATACTATATATATATATATATATATATATATATATATATATATATATGTATGTATACATATATGAATATATATATATATATATATATATATATATATATATATATATATATATATATATATATATATATATTTCAACTTTTCATCTATGATAATTTCAATGATAATATGATAACTTCATCTATGATAATACTTTCATCTACGGTAATACCAATACTTTAATAACTTAACTCAAGTTGTTTTAACATAAAAATGTACACTTTAGTGCTTTTTTTATACAAATGTTCCTTTTACTTATTGCAATATCAGCTTTATCATTGCACTTTTTTTGATTCGGTAGAATATGACTATAATGATAAAAAATTCAGGTTTCTTTTTTTTTTCAAGATCATTTTTCAACTTTTGATTTGCATTTTAGTTAAGCTGCACTGAGAAGTGAACATCTTAAAGATGCATAAAAAGTTTAAAAAAAGAATGAGATAAAAGTACAAAAGGATGTCCAGTGAAAAACAAAGAGCCTCTAAAGTATCTAAGGTATCTTTTTGTTAGAGTATCCCTTTGTGTTATCCCAAAAAGACCATTTTCAGGGTATTCCATCAGGGTAATTGCCACAGACTTTTGCAATGACACCAAGTGACATTATTTTGAAACAAAGAACCCCACTAAGTGTCTTCTGGTCTCACTTAGAGGATACTTAGTGAGAACAAATTGCATACAATTGTAAGTGATTTTTGATATAAGTGACAGTAAGTGCAATGATTTGTTGCAGTAAAACGAGGGTCGGTGAGAATTGTGAATTGTTTTTAGTTTTTATAGCTTTGCATGTGATGTGAATAGTGAATTAGGAGTATGTGTGTAGTAATTGACCGGGGTTGATGTTGACCGGGGCCGCGTTTGTTAAATTAAAGCTGGAGCTGAGTTTGTGACCCGTAGTTGCATAAAAATTTATAAATCATAAAGTATTTTTTTTTATTCAAACTTCATGTTATATTTTGTTTACATATATGCATACAAAAACATTATAATCATAATTATCATCACAATCATTATTTACATCATCATCATCATCATCATCATTTTCATCGTCATTATCTTCTAATTAAATGCTCCCCATTAAATGCTCTTCCGCGATGCTCTGTGAAAAGACTTCTTGATGCACCTTAATCAACTTAAAAAAAAAAAAAAAATTACACCAATATCAACAATAACTTTTGTATACACTTCATATTTAATAAACTAAAATCATTTAGAAATTTGTAGGCTAACAGGTAAATGTCTGTAGTATAAATGTGTGTTATGTAAATTGCACAGTTGCCTTTAATTATTTAAACAAAGTGTGTGTGCAGTATGGCCTATTTTGTGTTTAATTATACTTATAGTGACTTGTGTCATTAGTATGAGTTTTTAGTTCTGAAATGTTATTAGACAGTAATTAAAACAGCTGGTAATTAAAATTAAGTTATGCAATATCTTGCAATAATATGACATTTGTGTTTAAAAAACTCTTTATAATCAATTCCATAATGCGTTTACAATAACTTGTATTTAGTAATTGAACAGTATTATTTATCTTTTATTAAGAGATGTGTATAGGTGTATGTTGCAGAGCTGAAGTAGAATTATTCGTTTAAGTAGTTTTAAGATGGTAAGTATGAAAATGGGGTTTAAGTAATTTATATACAATAATAAAAGTTAAAAAACATAGATGGTGACAGTGAAGTAAGTTGTTTTATGATCATGGTTAGCTAGACTGTTAGTGTTTGGTCTGATTGATAAATAGAAGTGATAATATTTGGAGTAGAATGATTCATTATATGAATAGTTTGTAAGTGACTTGTGTTATAGGTATGATAAATATACATAGTAAAAAGAAGCAATGATTATTAAAAGAATATTAGATGTAGCACCCACAGTGCCTCTAAACTGGACAATAGTTATATATACTGGTCAAAAGGTGTCTGGACAATATAGTTAGTATTTATAAGAGTTTATTGTTAGGCATAATGGCAAAAATGTTAAATAAAAATATTTTTTTTTTTACTATTAATATTTCTTATCATAAATACAAGATAATAGCAATAACATGATATTAACAAAACAGCAACGATATGATCTAAACAAATAATGGATAATTTTACTTAAATTAACATTTTTTTTATTACCAATATTGTTGGCAAAGAAGAAAAGAAGTTAATTTAAGACTTTTTATTGATTTAAATACAGCATTCAAAATTCAAAACAGCTTCTATAATTAATTGTTAAGCTTACCTTTTAATAATAATTAAATGAACCACTTTCAAGTAATTTTATTTCTAAACTATAAACCTATATATCTTTCTTTTCTTTATTAGTGCGATCTATTTATCTTCCTTTCCTTTAATTATGTGAACAAAATGCGCCTGATTTATTTTTGATTTAAATTAGCCGCAAAATTTAAAATCAAGAACGGTAAATACGGTAAACGATTTTATCGACCTACTTTTGAGGGATGTTAACGTCTGCTAACCGCAAAAATGATCTATTACAAAACTACCGTTAGCCGAACGTGAAATTTTAAAAGTAATCCTTGTTATTAAATTTTAATACTTAAACTTGAATAACTTTTTATAGAATCATACTATTTTTATGAAATTTTCGCCATTTTAATACTAATTTAAAGTTCTTTCCAATGATATATAATAGTCTTATATATAAACAGTTTAAATTTTTTATTTGCGTACCTATTTACTGCTAATAGTCACAATCTTAAAAACGGTAAAAAATATTGTTAAAATACAACACAGTCGTAAAACATATTTAGCCGCAAAACATTTAAAGGGAGTAAAAATCTCATCATGGCAATAAAGAGAAAACATGAGATTTTTAATGAAGAGCAAAAATTATTTACTAAGGGTAACTAAATAAAAAAGCGGGTGGAAAACTTTACACTACAACGATGGTCTAAATTTTTCGGGTGTGGTTCTAATTTCGGGTTTTGTGCTAAATTAAAATATTGTTTTTGTATCATGGTTGAAAGAGCAGTTTTAATCAATTACGTTTAAGTAAATATTATAAACATCCTCTTTAATTGTTGAGGTCACCCACGAAAAAGTTTTTCAAACATTGAAGTTATATTTACAGTAAAACTTACCAATTAATAACAACAATTATAAAACGAAACTTAAAATCAAAATAATATTTAAAAAGTGTCTACCTTGCCTCGAAATTTTATTATAATGTGTGTGAAAAACGAAATCTTCATTACACTATTTTACTAAAATGTCAATAGGGGTTGATTGCATGAAGCGAACTTGACTGAAGTTCGACAAGAACTTTGAAGTATGACTTGATCAAGTTAGATTTCAAAAAAAAACTTGAGCAAACGCATGCAAGCAAACACTAATTACGTTTGGATTTAACCGAAAATGAATTTATATATATGACAACAGTTTTCAATGCCAGGGGTCAATGTTATAAAACTTTTTATAGGCGTAAAATTCTACCGGCGGAATTTTTACTCAGGAAATTTTACAGCCGTAAATTTAGAGACGTATAATGTTTTTTCATTCAATGTTATAAAACTTTCACCGGCGTAAAATTTTGAAGATATCAATGCTCTGATTTTATTTTCGGAAATCTACTGTCTGAACCAATAACTTTAAAGGTTGTCAAAAACAAAATGTTTTGATTTGAAAACATCAAAGTTAACAAAAATTAACAGTTTCTTATGGATTAGGACTTAGGCTGTTCTGATTCTGATGAAGAATATTTTGTTGCTTTAGAATATTTGGCAAATCAGAGACAACCACGAGAAGTAAAAATGTTCAAACACTATTCAAACTGTTAAGAATACAATTTAAAAGTAAAAAAATTGTCTTTAATTTTTTACCCTACCCTATAACAAAATTTGTAAAGCTTTTCTATAAAAATAACTTATACTATTTTTTATATAGAGGTTTCTTTAGACCAGAGTTGTTAATTGGCCTTGACCTTGCCTAAAGACCAAAAACTGTGGCCTTGGCCTTGAAACTTTTGGCCTTGGCCTTGAAATTTTTGGCCTTGACCTTGTTTGTTTTGGCCTTGGTCTTTATAATAGAATACATAAAATTAAAGAATTAAAAGTTTTTATTCTTTTTTTTACGTAATTAATTAGGTAATTATGCAATCTTTATTTTGTAAAATTGTGTTGATATAAATATAAAAAATCTATACGCGTTTTATATTATACAACCTATACACATAGAAATACATATTATACAATCTATACACATAGAAAATCTACACACACAGAAAAAATTGCATTTATAAACTTTTTTAAAAAACAACTTTAAATATCAAAATAATTAAAAGAATTACTCACTAACTCAAATTCTTATAACAAAAATTTATTTAGACACAAATAAACATTTAAACATAAAACTCTTTTGATGCTTTCTGATTAGAATTTTATCCACAATAAGTTTTGACGTGCTTCCATACCATAGACAATATGAGAAATTTTGGAAACAAGTTGTACATAATGTCTAAACGCTTTCTGAATAAGAAGAAAAATCTTTGATGTATTTTGTTATTTGACTTTATCAAAAATATTTGAGCCAACATCGTAGTGGTTCAATTAATTTTTAAATATCAAGTATACATTTTCATGAGCTCATACCATATACGAGCATCAAAGGTAATTTCTAGAACTTTAATAATTCTGTTTATAGTTTGACCACTTATTTTACTATTTCGAATTTCAAATAACCTCAGCATAAATTTTAAATTTCTTTTGCCTGTCCATTTTGAATATGTCCAATACTAAAGTTGATTTGATTTTTGGATCAATAAATAGTCCTAATAAATCTAGCATAAGTGCATTTCTAATTAGCTCAATAACAAACTTTGGAATCACTTTAAATTCTTGATGACTTTTTTTCAGGTTCCAATGTCTAAAAGAAAATTTGCAAAGTTAATCTAAAAAGTTAAATTTGTTTATTATATATATATATATATATATATATATATATATATATATATATATATATATATATATATATATATATATATATATATATATATTTATATATATATTTATATATATATATATATATATATATATATATTTATTTATATATTTATATATATATTTATATATATTTATATATATATATATATATATATATATATATACACAAATATATATATATATATATATATATGTATATATATATACATATATATATATATATATATATATGTATATATATATTTATATATATATATATATATATATATATATATATATACATAAATGAATAAAATTGCTTTTGCCTTATTATTTTTCATTAAATTTCAAATTTTCAGTGATCAAAATAAATCAAATCAAATATATTCTGAATAAAGTCAATACATCAAGGTTATTTACAAATAGTAACCTGTAAAACTTAATACTAATAAAATGATGCTAATATTATTTGCATCATTTTATTATTATTGAAGTAATATCAATAATAATTATAAAGCAATTAGGAGTAAATAAAAATAATAGTTATAATAACAGCAATTAAAAGTAATAGTAAAGAATCTAAAAAGTATACACTATACTATTTTAATAATAATAACAAAAATAACAGTAAAAATTTATTATTTTACTTACACAATTTAAGACTTGCAGATAGTAACTTGCAAAACGGAAACTTAGGGATTGATGTCTTGATTGGGGCGGATTATTACTGGCTATTTATTGAAAATTCTATTATTAGGGGAAATTATTTTTATCCAATTGATATTAAATCTAAGCTAGGTTATTTATTAAGTGGTCCTATTAATGTTAATAATATGTTTAAGAATAAAAATTATAATTGTTGTGTAAATACAGCTCATGTCATGTTTGTTGAATCAAGTTCATCTCCCAAATCATTAATTAAAGAATCCAGGACATCTGTATGGGGTGTTAGAGAGATGAATGAGTGTAACTATGAGGTCATTGATAGGTTTCGTCACACCATTAAATATGATAATACCCTCAAACGCTATAATGTTAACTTGTCCTTTAAAGAAGATCATCCTCCACTTAGTGATAGCTTTGATTTATGTATCAAGCGTTTTAAAGGTCTTCAAAAGAAATTGAGTAAAGATGATTATTTACTTAAATTAAACAATGACATTTTTAAAGAACAATTACAGAACAACATTATTGAACGAGTTATTGATAAAAACAAATTTGAAAAAGTACACTACCTACCGCACCAACCAGTTCTGAGAAATGACAAAGTTACTTCTAAAGTCAGAATTGTCTTCGATGCAATTAGTTCTGTTGATGGCTCTTCATTGAATGACTGTCTCTACCCTGGACCATCTTAAACCACATCCTTATGTGGAATCCTCTTGCGTTTTCGTGCCCAAAAAATTGCCTTTGTAGCAGACATTGAAAAAGCCTTCTTGCAGATTACATTATCTCCTGAAGATCGCGATTACGTCCGATTTTTGTGGTTCGAGAACATTAACGCACTTAATAAAGACAATATATTTAGTCAAAAAATTATTCCATATAGAATTTGCAGAGTTCTGTTTTAAACAATAATAATAACAGCATCAGTAATATAACAAAAACAGTAATATAAAAAAAATTATCGCAATAATAATAACAGTAAGAATCATAAAATTTATAATGATAAAAATATAGTAATAATAATATTAGCAATTATAGTGATAAAAAGAAAATACTTCAGTTTAAGAAATATTAAAATAATAAATAACTGGTTATTTATACTTAATAACATTCACAATTTTTTAGAAAAATATTGCTTTTAAATTATATATAAAAATATTAAAACAGAACAGTGTTGTGTTTTAATTTTTTTTTGTTAAATTTAATAAGTTTAGCAAAAAATATTAAATCACAACAGAAAAGAAAAAAATTAGATAAATAGAAGCTCAGAATTATGGTTATAAATAATAAGCTGAATGAAAGTGTGAAATTTATAAGCAATGTTTTTCTAAAAAGTAGTTAATGAGAGCAGTTTTAAATTTTGAGAATGACATACATTTTTTACATAACAATATCAGTATTAAAATTTTAACAAAGAAATTGCTCGAAATTAAAATTTACCAAGAAATGTGCACTTAATTAAAATGAAAGAATTTGTATTAAGTTTTCAAGTCAAGGTAAGTACTTTGAAAAGTTCTAAACCATAGGTTTCTACAACTAAATACTCATCTCTCTGGATCTTCAACAAAAATTTCCGTAGGTCGCTCCTCCGGAACATTTATCGCCTGTAAACGTTTCGGCTGTAGAAATTTATCGATGGTAATTTTAAAAAAAATTTTATAACATTGAAACAAATCATTTACGCCGATAAAATTTACAGCCTGTAGCATTTTACGCCGATAAAAAGTTTTATAACATTGACCCCAGGGCGAAAATAATATCCACAGAAATAAAAAACAAAATCAATAGAAAAAAACGGTTAATACAAGTTAGGTTTCATCTAATGTACGACAGAACCTAT